AGGTGATGCTGTGGTGAGAGGCACTTCTGACAATGACAGACGAGCCATGGGCCTTGGTGGGGGTGGAGGCAGGTGACCGATGACCCCTGCAGCCCAGTGACTGCAAGGTGCTGCAGGCTGAGGAGTAGGGAGGAGAGTGTGAGTCTGGGGCACAGGCCTCACGGCTCACAGTGCTTGGGACGTGGGAGGCCCCGGGCTCATCTGGTCTTGAGTACTGACTCTGGCCCAATCTTGGATGTGTATGTGTTAGTTATCTTCCCCAACACTTCCTTCAGGGAGTTCCTCTAAGTTCCCAGAAAGTGTGCTTAGTGTGGAGGAGCTTTACAAGCCAGTGTCAAAGTGAAGCTCCTTTGAGGGCCTCCAGACCAAGCAGGTTTTCACAGGAATGCTGACATAGCTTCTGCCTTGTTCACTCTCTCCTGAGTGCATAACTCAGCGAGCCGGTGTGCTCACGTGACCATGCACCAGGCTACAGAACCCTGCCTGCGTAAATGATCCATTCAAGGTGCAGGCTGGGAATGTGGCAGAGTACAACAGTTCATTGATAAGGTTCAGATTCCACACTTCAGTGGCCCATAAAGAAACTGACCCCAGCCACAGAAGAGAGGCCATGGTTCTCTGAAGAGGCTTTATCTGAGTGAGACTGGTTTTTCTTCCTGTTCTGTCATCAGAACCCCATATCTTAGTGAATTGAAGACTACAGCAGGTAGAATTCAGCCAGTGTTCTAGAAATAATTCTTCAGATTGATTTTATGGGAAGCAACTCTGCTTGTGTGAACTGCACACACGTGTGTGTGTGTGTGTGTGTGTGTGTGTGTGTGCATGCCTGTGGGGAGGTGTGGTACTGTACACCACAGAGCTCTCAAAAGGCAGCCGTCAGACCACTCCGTCTCGAGCACTGAGGCTCTCCTGGCCTTTTGTAGCCAGGCCACCATGGATGCTCGTGTCTGGGGAACTGAAGGAAATTACCACAAGTGAAAATACTGGGGCAGAGGGCACCCACATGCCACTTTGAAAGAGGTTTCCCCATCATTTTCCCAAGAGTTGGTGCTGGCTGCCTCTTCCTTGTGCTCCTCTAGATGAGCTGGGTGTCAGGGAGATGGCTCGGTGGCTGAGGGTGCCTGCCACCAAGCCTGAAGGTCTGAATTCAGTCCATGGGACCCACACGGTGCAAGGAGAGCCCAGTGCCGGAAGTTGTTCTCTGATTTCCACAGCCAAACCATAGCACATGTGCTCCTAACCCCAAAGATGTAAATAAATATACATTTTTAATTAAGAGAGGAGTGAGCAGGTGTAAGCTGGCCTTGGTGTGTGTGGTTTCATGATTGGAAAGATGATCTTCCTGGAAGCCAGAGATCGTGGGGGAGCAGGGCTCCTGGAGACAGAAGGCGGTCGGTCCCCTCCCGGGAGATGGCTGTACTTCAATCCCATTCATCTTCTCTGCCCTCCCGGGTGCTCCTCACTCCAGAAGGCTCACAGAAATTGGTATCTAGGTCAGTGTGTTCTTTAGGGCTCCATGCGTGAGGCCAGAGTGCAGGAGAGGCAGCCTCTCCCTCAGCACCCAGGCGCCTGTGAGGCCTGCAGCCCTGGGTGTCTGCTGTGCTGTGAGGGGCTGCACTGTTCTGTCCCTGCCTCACTCTGGCTGAGTGAAGGGAGGAAGTGACTTCTGCAGATGGAGAAGAGTGCTCAGGTTGCTCGCTCTGGGGCTGGAGCGCCGACCGGTGTGCTTTCTCCTGGCCATGCTCCATCTGGAGCCCCAGCTGGGCCTGGAGACCTGGGCTGAGACTGGAGGGGGGTAGGTGGTGGCAGGTGGGAGTGACACCTGCTGTCTGCCCTGATGGACCTGAGTCTGTGCTTGCTCCTGTGGCTGCAAGAAGCCTCTTTGGAGGGACAGCAGAAGCATGGCTTGTGGTCACCTGACATACAGAACTTGCAAGACAATGAGACAGCTGTCTTTTTCTCCCAAGACTTTATCTCAGGAGAAAGCAGTAATTAGATAAAAACAATGCTGTTTGGGTTTGGGGTAAAAATTAAAATACAGTCCCTTCAAACAACATGAGAATTGATTGGTAAATCATAGTTATGTATTTTAGAGACATTAACATTTACAGTCCACTGTGCAGGGAGATGGCACATTGGGTAAAAGTGATTGAGTTACAGCCATGAGGACCTGAGTTTGCATCTCTTGCACTCACATGGAAACCCAAATGTGGAGGCATGTGCTTCTAGTCGTCCTGTGTTTCTGTACCTGTACATGCGCACTCATGCATGCAGGTGTGTGTGGTGGGGGAGGGGAGAGGCAGGCTACCTGAAAATAAGTGGCAGGTTCAGAGAGAGACCCTGTCTCAGAATTAAGTGGAAAGCAGTAAAGACAGACACTTGAGCTCTGGTCTCCATGTGTGTATACGTGAGCGAGTGACTTCCTCCCCATACACACCACACATACACCTAAGAAATAAAATAAAAGACATAGCCATCATTTGTAGGCACACTAGAGTTTCATGCGGTGCTAGAAGACTGTGGGTCCAATGTCTGCACGCAGGGGGTCCTGACAATCTGCTAGGTGGTGAGCACTGGAAAGGAAGTGTCCTAGCTGTGAAGAGAGCATTAAAAACAGCATGGAAAAACATCATGCAACTGCAGTGGTTTGAGTTTGAGTTTTGCAGGGGATTAGGGTTTTAACCTGTGCCCTATGCCAGCTCTACTCTAACAATTTAGAAATGTTAGTTTATGGTTAGGAGCAGGGTCTCCAGCCTCCAAAGCCACAGAGAAAACCTGTCTCAAACAAACAAACAAACAAACAAAAAAGAGCAGGGTTTCTTGCTGCCTGTTCCAAAACCCTTTACTTTCCTCCAGAAATTGCTTATTCCATTTTAGTTTAGTTTTAACATTTATGTATTTGTGTGTGTGTGTGTGTGTGTGTGTGTGTGTGTGTTCCAAGAATGATCTTTTGCCTAAGTAGGGGACTGCCCTATCTGCCACCTCTCTCTCAACTCACCTCCACGGAAATGTCTGGGTTCAGGGATATTGCTCTAGAGTGTGTCGTCTTCAATCTCACTCATTACTGCTACTTTGTCCTTTATGGTGGAGCTCTTGAATGTGCATGTTGGTCTAGGCAAGCGACCAGGCCGCCAGAGGTGGGCACTAAGTGTCTTGACCCAGCATGAGGCTGGGCATGAAGGTCTGACAGGGTTTATACAAAGTGTATTGGTGAGAAGCTGACCAATTCCACACATCCTCTTGGGTTGGTGTTAAACTCTGGGCAGATCCCATCCTGTCCCCAAGGCAGCATTTTTAAACACAGGACCCAGTGACAGGAGGCAGCTCCCTACTGAGCTCAGGACAGAAGTGAATTCATTTCTGCTATGGCTGTCTTGGGGCACAGGGCACACTTTCTCTAATGTTAATTGTCCTAAGTAGATGGAGCCTGGGTGAGAAAGGTTGCTTTGTGGGTGGAGAGCAGTGACCTGATACCAGAGTCTGGTGACATGCCAGGCTAAGGCCTTCCTCTTCAACCCTGTGGTTCAGGGGGAGTTAAGTCAGATCTAGATAGAGTCTAATGCCATGTCTTCCTCAGCCGTGTGGTGTTGGTGTCACATGGGGAGGTTCTAGTGACCCAAGCCAGAGACCTGGTGCCCCAGTCACTGTGAACATTTGGTTGAGTTTCTCAACATCCCTGCCTGCTTTCCCAACCTGCAGATGCTATTGCAGTGTCAGGTTAGGTAAGTTAGCACACACAGGGCTCTCCATGAGCAGTTCTGTCCCATCTGAGTTGCAGATAGTGGGCAAATGACAGGGTTACACCTCGTGGCTTTCTCTGGGCCAGTCAAGTTGTGTGACTGGTTTTGGCCACTGAGATAAGGATGAAATGGTGTGTCCTTCCAGGCCAGGCTCTTAATCACCACTGCCATGGGTTTTCCCTTTGGCTTGGTGACTGGTGGCTTGGTGACAGCTCTCTTTGGGTCTCTGGGAGTGACCCCAAAGTGAGTTCAGTAAGATGAAGCTAACCACAACCATGTGGTTCCACCGTCTGAGGGGTGTTTGCTGCAGTGTAACCTCACCCATCCTGACTACAACAGGTGTGCTTGGGTCTCAGGATTCAAACTTCTGTCATGTCCAGCAAGAGAGGGCAGTGGGGTGCGGCTGGGGAGAAAGACAATGGTACCTTGTCCTCCGGAGGATTTACTTACATGTGTGTGTCTACCAGAAGCTGAAGGTGACTTATTTTGTGGGGGGAGAGGGGACCAGCAGAAGGCATGGGGGGAGGGGCAGATATGAGCAAAGAAGAATGAGGTATGAAAAATGTAGCAATGAAACCATTATTTCTTTAAAATTTCTTACAAATTCTGTAAGCACAACATGGCTTTGGCCACTTGGCAGTTGTAAGTTGGCCTCTTCCTGACCAGAACTCCCTGCAGATGCTTTGCAGGGTTGCTTTATTCTCAGTGGATTTCACAGGCCTTGACCCTTTCCCTCCTGCTCTGTACCGCCCCTGAGTAGGCAGAGCTGTTGCCCTGGGTAGGGTCCAGCAAGGTCCACGGCCTGAACTGTCCCAGGCTTCCCCACTGGAGTGGAGAAAGCAATTGATGGCATCATCAGTGTGTGAGACTGTGCGGTTGATCTCAAGTTGCAGTCATCCTGGAACTATCAATTAGGGAGACTGATGTGGCCATCCTTCTTCAAGTGTGTTTACCGTTGGCATTGCCAGGTGCTAAGTGAGAAGTTCTGGGGTGGGGCAGGGTGTGGCTTCCCATTCCTGTTATCTCAGCACCTGCAGGCAGACAGAGGAGTCATGATGTTCTACTGGAAGGAGGCCAGGTGGCTCTAGTTCCTGAACTGTGGAGGGCTACACTTGAGGCCCAATGGAGCCTTATCTGCTCCCAGGCATTAAGGTGTCAGGTGTCAGGTGCCTGAGTCCTAGCCCTGGGGTCCCCTCGAATCTGGCCAGGCAAGGACACAGCAGCATGGCCATTCTTCTTCTCCCTGTGTTTCATCCACAGACTGCATGGTTCTTGCCGGGACCGGAAGCTGACAGCACCAGCTCCGGGCAGCAGCAGTTCAGGCTGTCCTGAGCTTTAGCAGGAGACTGAAGGTTTCCAGAGACACCTGTGCCTGAGCGTCCTAGGCTGCCAGCGGCTCGTGTGGAGAGAACCTTCCAGAGGCGTGGGCTGTCACCAGGAATTCTGGACTGGGGGATGACATTCGTGCAAAGCCTTGAGGTCACCTCTGCCAACCAACAACACAGCTTTTGACTGCAAGGCTGCCTGTGGGAGGTGGGAATGTCGCTCTATAGTGTCCTGGACATTGGGTAGCAGTTTACTATAACCCCCCCAAGCAGCACCACCCACTGAGGAGCAAAAGCTGGGTGCACTGTTCATTCAAATCACCAGTTAGTGCAGTGCTGACCTCGAGAGCACAGAGGCCTGGGACTGATTCCTAGCCCTCTGGTGACAGCTGGCACAGTGTTCACATCTGTAACCCCAGTACTCGGGAGGTAAAAGCAGGGGAGTCAGGAGATCAAGGCCATCCTCAGCTACACAGGGGGGTTAGGGCCAGCTGGCCTACATGAGACCCCTTGTGAAAAAACAATTGCTTTAAAGGTTGAGGCAGGAGGCTGAAGTGAAGTCAAGGCCAGTCAGGGCTGCAGGATGAGTTCCAGGCCAACAGTGACTACAGTGTGAAACCTTGACTCAAAAAATGAAAACAAAACCCACCAAAAGGCAGCGAGGTCTTTAATGAATGAGGCTGACGAGAGCTTGAGTCTTTCATGACTATCCCTGGAGGGGCATAGTGCGCTGAGACTCAGGCTCAGTCTACAAAGCGCTGCACCTAGCCTGCAGCTACCATTGGTCGACACGTGTACTTCACCAAGATGAGCAGGGTCAAACCTCCCGCACTTCCTGTCCAGCCTCAGCAGCCTTCACAGTCCAGGCACTGCCCCTGGAGCCAGGGGTGGATGTGGTGAGGGTCCCAGACCTGTGCCAAGGAATGCCCTGCAACCAGGAGAGAGACCTGCACCACTGGGTTCTTCCTGGGTTTCTTCAGGGGAAAGGCTCCCAGGCCCCTTGAACTGAAGTAGGTGGGTCAATACGAGGCTCGTTGGTGTTTGCTGGAATAGTGCATTCCCCCAGCTGGGGGATGATCAGGGAGAAGGAAGACTGCCTAGTATGCCTGAGCTCTTAGTTCTCTCCCCAGCTCCAAAGCGTGAATAAAAATCCACCTATGACCCCGAGGAGGACACAGGGCTCCCCAGCTAGTTAGAGAAGGCCAGGGTGCCGTGTACGGAAGCCAGCTCCTTGTCCCACTGGAGAGAATGGTAGTTGCCTCTGGGGCCAGGTGTCTTCACCCAGTGACCTTACACTAGTGCAGTGTCCCTTCCTGTACAGGTCTCCAGCCAGACGCAGCAGCCTATTCTCCCTCCGTCTAGATTAGGAAGGAACAAGTGTCCACAGTCTTGAGGGAGGCCCATGCCAGGGACCCTGTTAGCAGGTCTGGGAAGGAACAGGGCTGCCAGTTTCCCAGCAGACCTGGCCCCTCCCCTCTGTTGCTCTCAGCACCCTTTCCCATGTTACTGGGATTTCCCAGCAGCCAGCTCACACTATTACCCCTGCTCTGTTAGAGCATCAACAACCCACTAGCACTCCTCAGGGGTGGATACCTGGAGGCTGAGGCAGCTGACAAGGCCACCCCTGAGTTTCACCCATGAGCCCTGCATTTGACGCTTGCTGGGAGCCTGTGCTAGCCTGTGCAGAATGTGATGGGGTCTTACAGACCTGGAGCCCATTTCCAAGATCTGGAAACTGAGGCTCCACAAGGGTGCTAGGGTGAACTAGATCTATGAGCCTCTCCCCAAGGGCTCAGAGGAGAGGCAGGGAGTGAGTTGGTGCCCTCATCTCTGGATTCATTATCATCCTGGACTACATAGAGATCTGCCTCAAAGATACAGAAACACACAGCTGAATCACAGGACATGCAAAGTGCCTGGTGCTTGAACAGTGTGTTACAATTGTAGCCATTCTTGTTATCTGTGATGCTGTGGCCAAACACAGGGACCCTGCCACAGCCTTGCCTGGTTCAGCCTCCTGGTGTGTGCCCACGGCGTGCAGTCCTGATTTCTGGCTCTGTGTGTCACGCTTTAGGCAGCGTGACCATGAAATCCTTGCCTGATGCATTCTGTACTTTGCAGCAATGCTTTGACATCCTTTAAGTCCCAGTGGGAACTTGGGGTCAAAGTTCGCTAGTATAACTGAAAGAGACAGGCTGTGGGGGTCGGTGAGAGGGCAAGGTCTTTGCAAATGAGGCTAGCCCAAGACCTCCTACTCATCCAGTGTTAGGCAGAGGCCTTCTGCCTGTCAGAAGGAGCGGCTCCCCTCTTGTTACTGTGGGTAACAGCATCACTAAGCAAACATGGATCTGTCTGGGACGATGGCTTTGTGAGTAAAATGGGGACATTAGTACAGATCTCCAGCAGCCATGTCAAAACAAGGCACGTGGCATCTATCTATAACCCCAGCCCTGGAGACAAGTTGATGCTGGGAGCTGGCTGGTCAGGCAGCCTAGACAAATGGTTGAGATCCGTGTCAGTGAGAGACCCTGTCTCAAGAGATCTAAGGAGGAGAGTACATGATTAAAATAGCTGCTGTTGACCACTGGCCTCCACTCATTCGTACACATGAACACACACACACACACACACACACACACACACACACACACACACACTTGAACTTCTCAAGTGGAACTGGGTCTCGAATTTAGGGCCAGCCTTGACTACATAGTAAGTTCAGGTCCAGCCTGGACTACATGCAACCCTGGTTTAAAAAACCAAACAACAAACATGAAGTGGGTTTGAAGATCTTGGCAAACAGCAAAGTCAGAATGATCTCAGGGAGCACGTCTCAGATCTTAACCCCTGGATGGTGAGATTTCCCCAGACCTGCTAACCCCCCCCCCACCTACCTATTCACACCAGCATACAGTTTCAGCACAGAAATTTGGGGGGTGCATCCCTGAAGGCTGTCAGCCAGATTTCACGTGCTAGGACATTATACATTTCTTTCTCTCAGTGACCCTTCAGGGGCCACTTTGCTGTCACTACTGTAATGTCAGGAGGAAATGCCCAGAACTGAGGTTCCAGCCATCTGCTACCTGGGCAGAAGTTGACTCTGCTCTGGCCTGCGCCTGGGTGTGGCTGCTTGACATGGGCACAGAGGGTCTGCAGCCAAGCCGGGGGCAGTGGAGTTTTGTAGATGTTCAGTTACTGGCTCACTGAAGGGAGCTGGGTGGGGCCAGGCGTCCACCCACACTTGGCACAGCTGAGAAGTTCTACTCTGTTTCCCCGGGGACCTCCACACTTCCTAGGCTGCATGATCAATGAAGGAATCTGGTCTCTGGGACACACAACTCCAAGCCAGACCCTGGGCTCTCTGTCATTCGTTGTCCTCGCTACTGGGGCCGAGTTCCTGCAGTAGCCATACCCAAGAACCTTTTCAGGTGACTGTTGGGAGCCTCAGCCTCTTTCCGGTGAGCTAGCTGGCTTCCTGTCAGGAGGCCTGTGCATCCTGTGTGTGGTTCTGCAGGTGCATACAGGCAAAGGAGAATTGCATCCAGGCAGTAACACCGAGGCCCAGAGTAGACTGAGCCAACAGCTTGTGTCAGAGGTTTGTCCTAATTCTCAAAGTGCATCCATCTCCTACCCACATAATTCAGATCTCCACACCCCTAACTAGGGCTGGGCAGACTTGGGTGAGAACCAAGGGGAACAGGGCCCGCCCTCCCTCTCTGACTCCCTACTTCTAGAGAGGGGGGGGGGACTTATTGTTTGGCTCTCTTTGTTTACAGTGCTGGGGTTCAAACCCAGGGCTTCACATGAGTTGGGGGCTGGTGCTCTACCCTAAGTTACATCTCCAGCTCTAAGAGAGACCAAGGAGAGATAAGCCGGACACAAAGCCCAGAGCAGGAGAGTGAGCCACGCCTCTGTGCTGACCCTGGGGCCAGAAGGGCTCATCACTCCAGCCTGGGTCTCCTTACCTTGTGTTACCTCCAGCCACCTTATGGGCAAGCAGGGCTCTAGGCAAGACCTGGAAGGCCTAGTGCCCCCAGCGTGGGAGTGGTGGGGGGGCTCCCTGGGCAGTGGCCAGCTGTGTCTAGAAACCAGCTTTCCTTGTGACCCAACAACCTTCTAGGGGAGGGCCCTCTTCCCTAACCTCAATTCCTCACGTGTGTATCTTTTAACGGACGGTGCTGATTTTGTAAGAAATTAAGCTTCATAGTGTAGGAGAAACTGCTGCCAGCCTACCCAAGCGGCAGTCGCTTGGCCCAGGTACCCAAGCCAGCCCGCTTGAGCATGTGCGGCCGGCACTTCCTCCCTGAGCCAAGCCTGCCTCTACGCCCAGAGACTGCAGAGACACCTGACCCAGAGACACCAATGTGGAAGCAGAGTCAGCAGCCTGAGCCAATGGGACCTTGGGAGGGGGTATAAAGGCGGGTCTAACTTCCTGCAGCGTGCTCTGCTACTCACGGACTCCCAGAGTCATTGGTGCTGGTCTTCTTACCCGCTTCCTCAAGAGGCGTCCGAGCAGGGTCACCTGCAACATCTGGTGCTTAAATGTGGGGCTCGTGGATATCCCGTGCTGGCATGGGATCCACGAGCCCCACTTGAATCAGGATGTGACTGAGGCTGTTTTGGGAGCCCTCTTGTTGCTGGCGCTGCATCGGCGATACGCTTTTGCTTATTTCCATCTGCACCCGTTCAGACTCTTCACACTCTCGGCGCCTTTCGGCGCTCCCTCTTCGCTGACTTGTTTGTTGGCCCCTGCGTGTTTCACGTCCTTGGTCCTTGAGAAGGTGAGCGCAGGGACCCTCCTTCTTTTCTGTCTTTTCCTTTGAGTCGGCCTGATATCCCTGGTAGGAACATTTGCTACACTTAGGTCCGACACACTTCCTGTTTTTGTTAGTCCCTCTTTGTCTTAGACTTTGTTCTTGACTGTCTCCTGCCATTAAGAGAATGGGAACTTAACGCTCCCAACTGTAAGGAGTCTCAGGTGAAGGCATTAAAATCAGTGCTGGTTACCAAGTGCCTTAAGGTTAAAACTGCCAGTCTGGAGATTTTTGGGATGAGGCTGTGGTGCTGGCCCTCTGGATTTTTCCTGAAAACATGTGGGAGTCTGATCACTGGGTGTGCGCGCTCTTACTGGCTGAAAGCATGAGATCGGCTCAGGAGTTACCCCCTTTTTCTTAAGCTTTGATTGGGGTATTGTCTTCTTACTAATCATTCTCTTTAAGTATTTCCTACGTGCTAGGCGGTGGTGGTGCACACCTTTAATCCCAGCACTCAGGAGGCAGAGGCAGGCGGATCTCTGTGAGTTCCAGACCAGCCTGGTCTACAAGACCTAGTTCAAGGACAGCCTCCAGAGTCACAGAGAAACCCTGTCTTGAAATACAGAAAACAAAAAACAAAACAAAAAAAGTGTTTCCAACTGTGTATTTCCACACTCCAGGTTCAACACCCAGAACGTGGCCCTCCTTGGGAGGTCTCTTGGGCCTGGCTCACAGAAATTCCTGAGGCATAAGTTCAACAGGTGCTCCTCCCACCTGGGCATGCTTACCAGAGACATCATCCTTCCAGGGCCGGTAGTCAATGCCGGGTAAGCACCTGTGAGGCAGGCCAATCTAAGACTGGCATGGTCCATCATGCTGCATGCTCTCTGAGGCGGGCCAATGAGGCAGAAGCTAGAACTTCCCACCAAGCCACATTAGAAAACAAAAAACTATAGCCGGGTGTTGGTGGCGCACGCCTTTAATCCCAGCACTCGGGAGGCAGAGGCAGGCGGATCTCTGTGAGTTCGAGGCCAGCCTGGTCTACAGAGTGAGTTCCAGGACAGCCTCCAAAGCCACAGAGAAACCCTGTCTCGAAAAACCAAAAAAACAAACAAACAAAAAAAAACAAAAAAACGGTAGATATGTATAGGATAAAGAAGTTAGTAGTGTTCCATGAATAATGTCCTGCCCCACAGAAAGTGTCATCCGGGGTGTGTGTGTGAGTGTATTTTATATGTGTGATAGAAAAATGACAAGAAAAGGTAATCCAGCCAGGCTGCCCTGGAGTCAAAGGAAACTCCATGAGAAACTCATTTATGGGGATGGAGAGGTGGCTCCGTTGTTAAGAGCACTGGCTTCCCTTCCAGAGGACCCTGGTTCAATTCCCAACAGCTCATGGCAGCTCACAGCTGTCTGTAACTCCAGCTCCAGGGGATTTGATGCCTTCATGCATATAAAATAAAGTCAAGTAAATTACTTAAAAGAAAGAAATTCATCAACCCCATTTAGCCTTGCCTGCCAGGAAGCTCCAAGCCAATCATGAAGTCCTCCGAGAAGCAGTATCTTCCTTCTCGTTGGCACGGTGTTTTCTTCTATGTCCCAGATTTTCTTTCCGAGCCTTCTCTGTTTGAATGGTTGCCACAGTCAAAATTCCAAGGATCTTGACTTCTGTTTAGAAAATGCATAGCAGAGAGCCTTTAGCCAGTAACTGATGGAAGCATATGCAGAGATCCACAGCCAAGCTCTGGGCCAAGCTCCAGGAGTCCAGTTGAGAGGGAGGAGGGATTCTGTGAGCCAGGAGGGTCAAGATCATGATGGGAAACCCACAGCTGACCTGAACTAATGGGAGCTCATGGACTCCAGACCAACAGCCTGCATGGGACCAACGTAGGCCCTCTGCATGTGTGTGACAGTTTTGTAGCTTGGGCCCCCAGCAGTGGGATCATGACCTGGCCCATGATCTGGCTTTTTGGAACCCGTTCCCCGTGCAGGGATGCCTCGATCAGCTTGACCCTGCCTCAGTGTGACGTGATATGCTTTGTTGACTCCCATGGGAGGCCTGCCCTGTTTGAATGGGCCAGGAGTGGATGGGGTGTGGTGGTGGTGGGGGTGTGTCGGGGGACAGGAAGAGATGAGGGAAGGGAAACTGATTAGTGTGTCAAGTAAGTGAAAAAAATAGAAAGTGCACAGTCAAAGAGCTTTCTTTAGCTCCCTGATGTGGAGACTTTTCTCCTGGTGTCACAGTCTGAATGTGTGCAGGAAGAGCTGTGTCCTGTGCTGTGCCAGGCCTCGGTCTGGAGGCTGAAGGCACAGTGTCCCTGTCCACTGCCTTCCAGGGCATATGGTGAGCATACAGCGGCTGGCTCACTCGAACAGGGTCATCCCTAGAAGGTCCCTGCCATGAGCAGAGTTTGCCCACGCACAGTCAGGCATTCTCCTCCCTGCCCCCTGTGAAAACCAGCCAGTGCCAGGGCTCCAGGACTCCACCAGAAGAGGCCAGCCAGGGCTCCTCTCACCCCTAGGCTGCTGTGCTCTGCAGACTCAGAGTCCCAAGGGACTCTTCTCCGTGCCTTTCCCAGCACTGTGACTGCCCTGTCTGCTCTTCCTTCCGGCCCCCTGCTCACTGTCCTTTCATTTTACAAGAAGACACACTTGGCACCTGTCCAGGATATCACAGTGCCCTGGCCAGCAGAGCACAACGGTGGTCTAGCCCACGGGAACCTGGAATAACGGGACAAGAGACAAGAGAAGTAGACAGCAAGACAACATGGCTGATCAAGCTGCATTTATTGAGGATTTGGTACAGGCTTATATAGGGAAATGAGGT